TATTGCTGAGCAAATTTTCAGTGTTTTTGTTTGTTTGTTTTGTTTTTGTTTTGTTTGTTTGTTTGTTTGTTTGTTTTGGTGAAGCAGAGTAGGTCTTTAATTAAGGGCCTAGACTCAACCTTGTAATTTCTTTGTGCCCTACCATGAACTACCTGTATGACCATGGACCTGACTCAACCTCTGTTTTCTTGTCTGTAAAATGGAAATAGCAAATATTCTGTCACAATACATATAATTCTGCAAATCAATGCAATACGTTCTAATTATTTCATAAGACATGGAGCTCTCCAAATGTATGCCACACAGTGCCGTGACTATTGTCTGTACATTTCCCGAGTGCCCGACAACCCATGGATGTCAATAAACACTTGGTTTTCATTAACATTTAACTCAGATATCAGAATAGCCTCTGCATGTTAGAAGAAAATGGCTGAGAACAAGGAACTGGTTTACCCTTCTTTTTTTTTTTTCCCCTTCAGTTGAATTTGACTTCACAAATGTGAAATAGCACCTATTTTTCAATCTTTTGTTAATCTTTCTTATTCACTCCCTAGAACTGACCCAGAACGCTGTAATTGGGCAAAAAGAGAGAGGAGGGGCTCACCAAGCTGTCATGAACACATGGAAAGAGATGTAAGGGAATATAAGGAGCATCTAGCATGGGAGAGACACTGTAATCTACAATAGGTGTGTGTGTGTGTGTGTGTGTACACTTACCACTGAACCCTCACTTGGAAGTTAATTGTTCAAAATCCAACACAGTGCTTGGAAAACAACAGCGTCAGGCATGGACAAGTGGCAAAGTAACAGGTTCGGGAATTAAGCATGATTCTTAAAATGATGTAATAATATTGTAAACTCCCAATCATTCCTGTGAACTAGACAGAGAACTCAGGGAAGCTCTGCCCAGAAAACTTTCCCTTTCCAGTTTGGAAAGCTGTGTTCCATGGTGCAGTTTCTGACCTCTTATTCACTCCCCGGTATTTGCTACTGGGAGATAGGAAGCCGATTCCCCCTTGCCTCTCCTAAAACTCTCAGAGCCTTGCTTATTTTGCTGGTTTCTGGGTCAAATTTGCTCTACAAGGAAAGGAAACCAGATTTGCTTTCAGGGTCTACAGGACTGTCCATGTGAAAGGCTCCCATCAGGCTATGGTATTGAGTCTTAACTAGTACTGAGTCTAAATTAGAAGCTTGTGAGAACAACCAATCGACAGTGTGTTACAACCTTCCACAACAGCGTGTCTGGTTGATTACTGTGCTGTCACTGCCTCCAGCGATTTGGTTGGAGAAACATAATGCCAGAAAGGTGGCTAAAGGGACAGGGACAGGGAGGGTGGGAGGAGGAGGCTGGGGGGTGGGGGGAAGAGGAGAGAGACAGAGAGAGAGAGAATGAGCACAATTTGGACTCAAAACGAAAACAATTTAAATAAATTCAAAGGAAAGGCATTTTGTAAATAAAATAAAATAAAATAAAAGTAATAAGCAGATATTTCAGATATAAATTGTTCACCTATAAATTATATAAATGGCAGCAAGGCTAATATATCCCAGACAGATCTACACAAAACTGTCTTTGGTTTAAAATAAGGCCAATGTATATAAAGGTATCTGTTCAATATAGGGCGAGTGCATAGAGAGTTACAGTAGTTATATTTTAAAGAAAACTCAACTTTTAAAAACAAAACAAAACATAAAAGACAATGTGAAAGTCAAGGAAAATCAAGGAAACAAGGAGTAGGAAAAACTGTAAGCACAGCAGATTTAGTCCTTAAGTCTAGAGAAAGAAAGCTGGTGTCACATATTTCTTGGGATCTGAATCTATGTGTTGTTTTAACCCCTTGCTCTTTCCCCAAACACACACGTAACCATCTACATTTCAGACTTTCCCCCTTGTTTGTTTTTTCTTCCATGCTTGTGATTTTTACTTTTTTCATTTTTGCCTTTTACTTTAGCCAAAAATACCTGCTCCCCTATCACTTTTCATGTCAGGGATGGACTCATGCCAGAGAGGGATTGACCCAGGGTTTCTGGGGTCCTTCAGCTGAATCTTCTACATTCTTTTCTCCCAGGGTTTTTTGTTTTGTTTTGTTTTGTTTTGTTTCGTTTGTTTTGTTTTATTGTTTAATTTCTAGCTCCATCTGTCTGATTTTCCAACCTTTCTTACTCCTTGAAACTCACGGATATTTTAAAGTCTTAACAGTTTAGACAGTCTATTCTATTAATATTTAGAGTTAGTGATCTTATGTTTTACTTTCCTATGACCTCAGACAGCACATGTAACTGATACAATTCCCACATCAGACGGATCCAGCAGAACCAGTTAAAGATCCACAGAACCAAAAGAGACTGAAGACTTGCTAAGTAAAAACCCTTTCTGGCCACAGATCCCACAGAAGCAGTGATAGATTATCCTGACTCTGATCACTAACCCAGGAGGGACCACAGCACTGCAAGCTAGAGTTCTAGGCATACAGAAATCCTTTATCCTAAATGGACGTCAAATCTTCTGAAGTCAAGAGTCATTGTTCTCTCATATTGTATACCTCCTGGTATCAATTAATGTGTATGGATTAATCAATTTCTCCTTGAAATGGAAGACAATTAAAATGGGGTAATGTCAGTTTCTGAGATTCATCCAAATGTTTACTTTAAACTTATTTAGGTAATGGGAAAGATACCAAAATGTATGTTTTACTAAAAGTGCTAAGTACATAACTCAATAAATGCAAAACAAAGTAGCTATCCTAAAATTACTTGGAGGGTTTACACATTCTAAAATTTCTACCAGAAGAATGCAATACCAAAAGCTATCAAAAGAAAGTGAACACAGAATGTGGTTCTTAAATCATTAGCTCTATGTGTATACCTATCACTGTACTTAATTATATAAAGTAGAATATTGTATAGCATCCAACCCTTCAAAAGAAGATAGATATTCTGGAATTTAGGCAATAGAAACTGATATGATCAGGGTGAAATATTTGTCTTAAGCCTCTTTTTGTTGTCTTAGCATGGACATAAACATTAGAAAGCAGCACTTCCCAAACAAGAGCTAATCTAAGACCTATATGACAATAATTCAATTTATAATAATAAAATTATACTTGTCTGTCAATTCTCACATTGGTCAGAGTCAAACCTTTTGCCTAAAATTTTTTTATTGTATGTATATTTTTGCCTAAAATATATCATATGTCTGAAACACAATGGTAAGTTTAGTGATGATGACACTTCCAAAGCTGAAACTAACCATTTGTTTGAAATCCACTTCCTTGCCTTAAAATTATACTTAGCAATAAGAAATATATTTTTCTTACATCAGATATGTGGATTTTATAATCTGGAGTCTCAAGTAATAATTTCTACATGATGACTGATGTAAACAAGGCTTAGGGTCTCAAATTAACTAATTGTCTTTTTAAAAGGATAAGGTTTTAACTGATTCATTAAATTGAATAAAGATATAGGTTCTATTTTCTTCTTTGTTCCCTTTTATCCTTAATACATACTATAGGTGCTCTCATAACATACATTCTACTAATCGGGAAATTTAGACAGAGATAGCATAAAAGACTGGACCTAGCGGCCATAATTTACACTGGGAGCAAAGGCAGAAGGAATAAAATGAAAAATGCAAACCCAGAGAAAACTGATGAGCATCAAATAAGGAAAATCTTAAAATTTCTTCAAATTCAGATGAGCAATTAGAATTCAATAATACTGGATTATTACATAATTCAAAGGCTTGCATTGTGATTTTTTCTAAGTTTATTTATCTTGAGTGAGAGAGAGTGGGAGAAGGGCAGAGAGAGAGAGAGAGAGAGAGAGAGAGAGAGAGAGATTCCCAAGCAGGTTCCACACTGTCTGCACGGAGCCCAACACAGGGCTTGATCTCACAAACCATGAGATCATGACCTGAGCCAAAACTGAGAGTTTAACCGACTGAGCCGCCCAGGCGCCCCATGCATTGTGATTTTTAAAAAAAACAAGTTACTCTTTACCAACTGTCTGTTAAGTGCTAAACACTCAGGATCTCACTTGGTGCTTCCTACTTTCATATTACCTGTGGGCAGACAGGCTAGCTGAGCTAACTCGAATGCTGCCCTGGGGTAAAGCCATGATTTGAACTTGGTCTGTTCATGCTATGGGACTCTTTTAAAAAGCACTGGAAATTTCTCTCTTCTGCAAGAAGCTCTTTATATATATGTTTAATTCCTACTGTAGGAATAAAGAAACATTTTCATCTAATGATTTATCATTTGGATTCATTGCTTTAGAGTCAACTGCTCTCTCCCAAGATTTAACTCCATTTTTTGACAGATGGCCCAATGAGTGGTACCCACTCTTAAGCCCTTCCAAAAGTTTCATGTGTAAATAGTTTTTCTTTTTGTCAAATAGAATGGATGCACACAATAAGTACAAATATTTCCATCTTAAAAAGAACTAAGTTCACTAGATCATCTCCTTTATTTTTTCTCTCCCCATTTTCTGTAAATTCTTCCAGTATATAGTCCTATGAATTTGTCAGCCAAGACACTTGTTTGACCCTTTGCTTGATATCAGCTGGTTAGAGGGCCCAGTATTTTCTTAAACATATTTTATGGGGACTCTAAAATATTATTTTTAAATTCAAACACAGCCGTGTCGCATCTGGCCACTAATTAAAGGAGACTGTTTTCAATGCCACATCCGCTTTCTTTCAAATTGCTCCCTTCATGGCCCTGCTCAGTACCTTTACTCCCTGTCTACCTCTCTGAACACTTTTCATTCCTGGTGACTAAAAATTAAAGCCCCCAAGATGAAAGCGGCTTGTGGCCACCCAGCTCACCAGGAAATTTGGCCTGGAAGCAACTCCTTTGAGAAAGATCTTTTGTGAAGTCATGGACATGAGGCCGACCAAACGAGCTGGGCCTGTCTCAAAAGCACCGTCAGAGGCCCCCGCAGACAGCACCAGCCACGAGGCTGACCACATCTGCTATAACATCTAAGGAGCTATTTACCTGTTTCAGTGTCTCCCTGGGGCCTGTGTGCCGTACAGTAACAGCAGTCCAAGGTGACATAGTTAAGGACACTGAAGAAGAGGCCAATAACTCCAGCACTGAGAACCAGCAGTGGCTCCTCTGTCTTCTGGGGATCGATATACCTCTTGACAGCTTCCACCAGGATGCTGAACATCAGAGCCACGGCAAAAATGGAGTTGCCAAACGCTCCCACCACATCTGCCCGGAGAAAGCCGAAAGTGCTCTTCCTGTGCCGTTTTATCCTGCTGGCCCTCACGCCAAGCCAGGCGATGATCATGGAAACAAAGTGGGAGAGGACGGCGAAGGCATCGGAGGCCAGGGAGAGGGAGTTGCCTATGTGGGCGATCACCAGCTCCATCACGAACAGGAGGACGCTCACCGCGCACAGGAGGACTAACCGGAAGCTTCTTCCCGAGTATCGCCCCATGGCGCCTCGCTCTCGGGCAGCTCCTCACCCCTCTCTTGGGAAGGGTAACTCTCCCCTTCAGCCTTGCAGCACTTGTCATATTTGGAAATCACCTTTTATAGGCTGCTATAAAGCCATAAAACAGTTTAAAGGGCAATTAAGCAAGAAATGTCACGTGAGCTGGGACTTACGGAAAGTGAAGGCACGGGCTTCCGATGCAGACTTGAGGGGCTTCTTTCATTCATTGTGTGTTTACGCACAAAAGCCAGGAGCCTCCGGATCTTTGAATTGGGCAGAAGTTCATCTGTGGCTTTGGCCTTTCCAGCCTCGGTGTGTGCAATAGCTACTGTGGTGGGTCAAGCCGTTTGTCATAAACAATCGGGTCTTGTCTGCCTGGTGGGTAAAAAATATGAATTCTGTTAACCACATGGAACAGGGAACATTCTAGGGGTCTCTAATCCACAGATCAGAGCTACAAGAAGTCAAAGCCAAAGAGGCTAGGGTGATTTTTCTACTGTCGTGTCCACTAATCCGGAATAACAAGCACCCTACTTCCAAGCATTCTCCACAAATAAGACAAGAAAAACATTCCTCATGTTCAGAAAAGATAAAACACCGTTAAGCCGAAGGAGCTAAAGCCATGATCCCAGTTAGCTTCAGGAAGAAAGCTAAATTAGAATAACTCAATTTAGCTGATGCAAGCAAATTTTTTTGTTTTTAATCTTATCAATGTGTCACTTGTAAATCATAACGATTTTCCAGGTCCCGAATATCTAAAACAGTAGCGGCCTCTATTGTTTTGAGTAGACTCCCTACAGTCAATCCTATAGAGGAACGCAGATTAAAATTACTATACCCAATCTTTTCTGAATTAAAAAAGTCTGACTGCGATGGTTAATTTTATGTGTCCGTTTGACTGGGCCACCAGGTGCTCAGACATTTGGTCAAACATCATTCTGGCATGAGATTGGTATTCCAATTGGTAGACTGAGTGCCACAGATTGCCCTTCTCTGATGTAGAAGAGCCTCATGCATTCAGTGGAAGGAATCAACAGAACTTCCCCCCTACAAGTAAGAGAGAATTGGTCCCGCGACTGTCTTCAAGTGGAAACACTTGGCTTTCTCCTGCCTTCAGGCTTAAACCCCTACATCAGCTCATCCTCAGTCTCGAGCCTGTGGTCTTTCACTGGACCTGCTCCAGTGAGTCCCCTGGTCCTCGGGCTTGCCGACTCACCTTGCAGATCTTGGGACTTCTCAGCCTCCGCCATCGCATGAGCCAATTCTTTTAATGCATCTTTCTATTTATATACACACCATATTGGTTTTTTTTCATCTGGAAAACACTGACAACTTAGATGCAGCCCTAGTAATTTCCTCAGCATCTCAGAAATAATCTCCTGGTCAGCTGATACTCTAACATTGGGACTTTGAATGAGATTATGAAAATTACTGCACTAAGACTACCTCACTCGTCCATTCACGCAACAGATACTAAGTTCCTACATGTCACACATGGTTCTAGACTCTGGGGAGACGGCAGTGAATAAAACAGAGGAAAGCCTCTGCCTTCATGAAGCTTACATTCTAGTGGGGGAGGGAGATTAATTAACAAATTAATCATAAAATCTACTGAATGTCAGATGGTAGTAAGAATAATGGAGACAAATGAAGCAGAGAAGAGGGATACAGTGTTGGTATAGGGGTGGGGGTGTTATTTTAAATAAAGTCAGGTAAAAATTGACTGAGATGTTCTTGAGTAAGATCTGAATGGGGGACGGTGGGCTGTAGAAAAAAAAAAAAAGAAATAAAGGAAGGACGAGACTGAGCCATGAAGATGCCTGAAAGCAGTTCTTTCTTAGGCAGAGGAAGCAGAGAGCATGGGAAGTTCAAGGAGCAGGGAAGGAGCTCAGTGTAGTTGGAGAGGAGTGACTGAGGGAGACAAACAGGATGTGGGGTCTGAGAGGCAATGGTGGGGGGGGGGGGGGGAGGATCATGTAGTATCCTGAGATGGGAGAGCTGAACAATGACAAGACCGAATTCACGTTTTAAAAGAATCTTTGGATCCTGGGTTGAGATGACATGAAAGCCGAGGAACCTGTTAGGAGACTGTGGCAATAATCTAAACAAAAGGCCGGTGACTTGGACCACGTGGGAAGTGGGAAGACCCAGGCAGAACCGGCCACGTAATCCATGGGCTTGGGTACCAAATGAAAGCGCAAGGCCCTTTGTTGAAAAATTACTAGGAAATTTTAAACGGTGTGGTCACTATGAGAAATAGTATGCCAGTTCCTCAAAAAATGAAAAATAGAATTGCTGTTTGATCCAGTAAGTCTACTTCCTGGTTATAAAACCGAAGGAATTGAAAGCAGGGTCTGTGCATCATAACAGCACTACTCCCAGCAGCCAAGAGACGGAAGCAGGCTACGTGTCCATTGACAGATGAAAGGATAAAATGTGGTGGGAGTGTGTGTGTGTGCACATATGTATACATACAATGGAATATTATTCCACCTTAAAAATGAAGGGAATTCTAACACGTTACTATATAGATGGGCCTTGCGGACACCAAGCTACGTGAAATAAGTCAGGCATAAAAAGACAAATATTGAAGGATTCCACTTTTATGAGCTATCGAAGGCAGTCAAATTCATAGAAACAAAAAGTTAGAATGGTGGTTGCAGGAGCTGGGGGGAGGGGGACATGAGGGAGTTGTTTAATGAATATAGCTTCAATTCTGTGAGACGGAAAAGTTCTGCTAATTGGCTACCCCAAAATGCAAATATACTTAACACTGAAGCATACACTTAAAAATGGTTAGGATGGGGGCGCCTGGGTGGTTCAAGTCTATTAAGGATCCGACTCTCGATTTCGGCTCAGGTCTCGATCTCAGGGTCGTTAGAGCCAATAGCATTTGCTGGGCAATTGGATGAGAGGTATGAAAGAGAACAGTCAAGGTGACATTAGGGCTGTGGCCTGATGTTGCAAGTGAGATGGAAGTAGGACAATGGTGACAGCTATAGGATTGGGGGTGTAGGGGAGCAAGGAGCAGAAATGACGTTGTTTGGTGTATCTATTAGACAGCCGGGCTGAAATGCTACATAGGGTGTCAAGTAAGAAAGTTTGGAGTTCGGGGGAGATGAATAGGCTAGGAATATATGAACTTGAATGCTGACAATATACTACAGGAGGTCACCAGGGAAATGAGAGAAAATTGCAAAGAGAAGGCAATACGAAGAGATGAGAGAGAAGGACCAGAGAGGTGGAAGGGAAAATGGGAGGGTATAGTATTCTCAAGGCCAAGGAAGAATGTGTTTCAAAGAAGAGGAGGCATCAGCCGGGCCAAATGCTGAGAGTAAACGGGAGGAGGACTGGAAGTGATGGCTCGTATTTCACGTTATGGACGCCACTCGTGGCCTGAACAAGAGGGCAAATGAAGTGGGTTCAGAACAGACAAGGAAACAGGAGCTGGCAAGTACAGACAGCTTTATTTTCAGGCTAAAGGGATAGGGAATCGACAAGTTGGGGAAGATGACAGCATGTACCCACACAAGAGGGTAGATGCAGTGGTGGGAGGTCCTGGTGGGTCCATTTTTTTTTTATTAAAAAATTTTTTTTAACATTTATTTTTGAGACAGAGCATGAGTGGGGGAGGAACAGAGCGAGAGGGAGACACAGAATCCAAAGGAGGCTCTAGGCTCTGAGCTGTCAGCACAGAGCCCGCTGCTTGAAACCACAGGGCTTGAAACCACAAACTGTGAGATCATGACCTGAGCCAAAGTCTAACACTTATCCAACTGAGCCCCCCAGGCGCCCCTGGTGGGTCTATTCTTATTGTCTCTATCTTCTTGATGAAACCGAAATCGAGACGACCAACTCGAAGTCAGAAAGGGGAAATCTGGAAAAATTGAGGGGAAAAATGTAGGAAATAATTGTCCAGGAGAGTGACAGAATGAATAAATGAGGGAAATACAGTATAATGACATTTTTACCACATAATTCTGTTGTTAGCACCGTCACCAGCCTGTATATCCCCCAAGCTCCTCGCTCATTCAACACATTCTCCCCAGTCACAAAGTTTGCTTTCGGGAACATAACTAAAATATATTGTGAGATATCCCCATTACATGAGACTCCTTTAAAACAGTTTTATATCATTTCAGCACTACGGATGTTTCAAACTCTTGAATCCTCCAGTAAAGTGAAACGGAGGCACCGTTTTCACATCGCCTGCTGAGCCAGGGGAATGTGTTTGTCTCTGTGATTTCAAGCCTGAGGTGTGGCAGGATCGGGTGGACCTCATTCTCCAGCTATTATCATCTTGAGTACAGGGGTTGTTGTCAGCACGCTGCTGTGGGCAGGGATGATCCTGCCATGTCTCCATGAGGGTCACCGAGGCAATGCCCCCCTCTTCACAGTGCTCAGCCCCAGTTCCCTGCTCCACCTCCCTGTCCACTCGATTGCCTGCTTTTGCAGCTGAACTAGATAACTTCAAGGAGATAGAGCCAAGAAGAGGAAAACTCATGTTTGGCTCTACTTGCTGCTGTCTGCTTAGGCACTTTGCACAAAGCAGGTGCTCAAATTTATTAAATAAATGGCTGGAGTTTTCTAGACGCGGCGAAAGTGACAAGCAAAAGGCCGAAGATTTGGTAGCGGTAGCTGCCTCCCCAAACTTCTGATGCTCCTGACACCCCCCTGAAAACCACAGCTTTATGACAGATGACTAATATTTATAACTACAATCAGATACCAAATAGGGGGACAGGCACAGACCCTCCAGTCAAAATGCCTTCTCTCTGCTTGTTGCTGATCTCAAGCCTCAAAGCCTCCCCAGCAGGAAGCCAGAGAAGTTGCTGTTACTAATTTTCATGAAGGTGTCAAATGATTTACTGGCATTAGGAACTATTTTGAACAGCCATGGATGAACCTAGAAATTGCTATCCTATAATATACACTAGCAGGTCCTAGTGAGCACAGCCAGCAATAATATACCTTGACCTATTTGTTTTCTTCTTGTTGGAACA